CATACTTAACCTTTGACTGTTGAATTTTTCCTTAAACCATATTCGAGTTATAACTCATTAAAGTAAATTACTTGATATTTAATATTAGTTACCAAATTAAATCATATTACCGTAATAATATTGGACTCATTTCGTAACTCGTCATTAATTATGTACATTAAACTCGAAAAAAATTTATTTTAGATAAAATAGAACCAAGTTAGAATTAAGGCTGGACAAAATTCTCGAATCGAGCGGTTCTTCTTAAATTAAATACTTGAACGGGTATCTAAATCGAGAATCGACAGGTTCGGTTTGGTTCTCGATTCTAGATTAAGAACCGGAGAACCGAATAAAAATCAAATCTCCTTAATTTTTTTTAATTACTTTATTTTAAATCATCCAAATTATTTTATTTTGCCTAAATAAATTTGCTAACTAGTTAATTTAGTTTAAACCCAAAAATATGATTTTTCCTATTTCTAATTTCCAGTCAAAGCCAACTCAATCAAATTGACTTAAAATTTATCCAAATCTGTTACTCTACCGTAGTGCCATTTTCTACCGTTTTGGAGAAATAGAGTTGAAGTTTGACAACGTCTCTCTTAATTATTTTGAGTTTGCTATCTTTCTCTTCCAATGATTTTAACAATCAAATTTATGAAGAACTCAACAAAGAAAGACGCAAAAGATACATATGATTAGATTACGTTACTTTGTAAAAGTTAAGATTGAATATATTATTAGTTGAATTAATGTAATTTCGTAAATATTAAAAAATTAATTATAGTACGGACCTGGGAATCGAACCGAATTGAATTGAATGGAACCGAACTCGAAGCCGAACGGTTCCATAATTAAATTTGGACATGATAGTTTCACTTACTAAATATCCGAGAATTTCGGGTTCGATTCGATTCTCTTTAGAACTGAACGATGACTAGCCCTAATTAGAATCGATCAAAAAATTTATAGTTAAATTAATATTTAATTAATACATCTTTTACAAATTAGTATTTTAATTTGGCCTTTTTACATGTATTGAATTTCATTTTGAGGCAAATTTGATTTAAGGCCCTAGACTATTGCCTAGTTGGCTTTGGCCTAGGGCCAATCTTGTGTCGATAGAGAATTCTTCGTTTAATGCGTTCTTTGATGCTAAGAATGTGGTTTCTTCAGCTTTTAATATACTATATAATCGGCTCCTTTTTGCTTTGCTTTGCTTTATCCGAGCAAGTTCTCGAAGGTTTGAAAATCACGAAATTGTAATTTTCCCTCAAAATTACATTTTTGTCCCTGAAGTTTGTAAAATTTCAAATAATCCTCAAACTTACCAGAATTTCATCAATGCCTCCGAACCTCAAACATGATATTATTAAGGACTACCTGAGGTCCAGAATTCATAAACATGTAATTTTTCTTGGATTGCAGTTTGGTCATGAACTTTTCAAATTTTATTTTCACTGCCCAAATAACTCATATTCTCACAGATAGCTCTAGATTTCAACATTCCTTTGACTAAATATTTTTTATAATTTTCACCTTGACCCCTCAAGAATTCAAGAAATTCAAATTTAGTCCTAAAGTTTTCAAATTTCCATTTAAGATACTCATAAAGGTCCGGTATATTACGCTAAATTTAATTTTTTTTCTTTAAAGTAATTTGTTGCACAAAGGATTTTGTGTACGTGATGCTAAATTGACATATACTCAATAAAATATTCAAAACATCAATCATCAAAGTAAAATTAAAGTAATTTATTTTTCTATTTCTTTTAAAGAAATTTGAATGTTGTCGTTCATTACTTAAAACCTAGGTTTGGATTAATTTTATAATTTTTTCATAAACACTCAAGTCAATGTTTATTCACGCATTTCAAGATATCCAAATGTACCATTTAAGTTATTATCCATTCATTTTTTATCTATTTATAATTTAATTATTTTATACTCTCACTTACATTACATTATTTGTTTCTCAATAGATCAAATTTCAACTCATGACCATATTAAAATTTAACATGCATCATGTCGTAAAATTTATTAATGGATCCAACTTTTATTTTTAAACTTATCCAAAACGTAAGTTTTTGTGCTAAAATGTAAAATCAATCTAGACCAAATTATGAAGGTCCTATTAATAGTACAATTATTTGTTTATTTATTAACATGGATAACTAGATATAATGTTTTGTTAACTGATTTTTTAACTGTTAAAGATAAAATGAGTTCTACCTGTGAGAGAAGAATTCAAAAATAACGAATGAAATAATCAAATAGCGGTCAAAAAATTGATGTTAATTAAATTAAAATTTCTACCAAACATGTTCTAATTTAATTATAGTCCCAAAATTCTTAAAAAGTGCAAACAAGTCCCAAATAAATTAGTAAACTGGTAATTAGCACATAACGTCAAACCTTTCACTATTATAGTGAAAAAGTCCCCACCCTTCATTTTTTTGGCCATTTTCACCTTTAATTATACATTTGATTGGACAAATCATCATTTGTATCATTTTTTTTAATCAAATTTCTCAATACAAAACTACGAAATGAGGAATATACCCTTCTATTAAATAAAAACAAAATGAAAAATAAAAAAATTAATTGCAACAATAATTCAACAGTCTCTAATAAATTATTAAAAAAATTAGAAATTATATATTTTTTTAAAAGTTGCAAATGAGTCCCAAATAAATTATTAAAAAATAAAAACTTTAAAAAATTTAAAAAGTACAAGCAAGTCCCAAATGAATTATCAAAAAATTAGAAATTTAATTTTTTTATTTAAATAGTAGGGTATATTTGTCATTTCACAATTTTTATTGAGAAATTGAATGAAAATGGATAGAAGGATAGTTTGCGCAATTAAATATGTAAAATGTGAGAATTCCAAAAAAAAAAAAAAAAAAAGGATTTGAAAATAATTTTTTGAGTCAAGATATCACACTAGATAGCTAATTAATAAACTAGTAGTAATTCACGATTTCGATTAAAATTCACGATCTCATGTTTAGGCCACGAGGAGAAATTCAAAATTCAGCATGAATATTTTAATTCTTATATACATCTTACCTTTTTTTGATCGAGAATTATGAAAACTAGGTCACAACCATAAATGTTTAAAACTTTGATATTATTAAGACTTGAAAATATGCTCAAAACTAAGGTTGTTTAATTTGAATATTTGCATAACCCTTCCTAAACATGACTCAAAATGCAACTCATTAATTTTTTTTTCTAAGTGTTAATTTAATAGTCGATCATTCTTCCATAATTCGAACTAACAACAAATTAAGTTCAATTTTCAATAATTATTAGGCATGTCATGACAAATCTCCTAATTGTCATGTCTATTGACGTGTAATAATATTCCTACCATGTGATGTAACAAATTTTTATGCTAATTGTCAACCAACTTGTTGTGCAAACATGAACAATAAAATAGAAAAGAAGACAACAATAATACTGATACATGAAATTTAAGTGGGTCGACAATGTGCATATGTTCACTGTATGAAGCAAAAAATTTACTAACTTCAAAATATGGTTACATGATATTGTTTATATAGAACTATAATTTGAAACTATACTTACAATACAGTAACGTGCTGTGGGAATTCACTTCTGCATCCCCAACTTATCTATGTCAAGTCCGAGCATCTCGGCTCATCTCCCGTTCCATCAGCCAACCCCTTGTACAAAAATTATGAATCAACTTAAATTCTCATTCCTTATTCAGATTTGAGATAGATTATGAAAAAAAAAAAAAAAAAAGGTATTGAGAATTTTCACAATAATAAAGATAGGAACATTGTGTGCTAATTACCTTTTTAATAATTTTTTTGACTAATTTGTACTTTTTAAAAATTTTAGGACTATAATGAGTTCTTTCTTTTTGTTTTGTGTTTTATTTAAATATAGTGGTGCATTCATCATTTCAGAAAATTGATGAAATAATCTTATGAGCAATGAAATGTGGATATAATGGTGATAATGCAAAAAAGATGAAAGGTAAATATATTTTTCACAATAATAGTGCACTGAAAGGTAATGATGCTATATACTAATTATCCTATTATTATTAATATTTTTTTTTGCTACAATCCAATTAGATCTAACAATAAATTGAATAAACTAATAATAAAAGTTATATATTTAGTTCTAAATTATTAAAAATAAACTGTTATTTATCTAACACTTTTCTATGAAAGTCATTTATGTCTCTAGAGAATACAAATAATTTTTGTTTTTCTTTTCGGACTGAAGAAAATATGATATATTCTACAGGTATGTTACACAGACATAATAATTTATATAATTGCTTATATATACATGATATTGTAAAATATGATTGAGTAAAAATTTATTCAACTAAATGAAATAAATAAATAAATAACTTGTCAAATCTCTTTTTGACATATGATCAGTATATAAATCTTTAAATAATTTCATTATGTACAAGTAACATGATATGATTCCATATGATTCACGTGCAATACACGTGAACTTGTGCAAGCATTATATCGGTATTATTTCAAGGATAACAATACTTGTACATAATTTTTTGTATATCAAGATATCCATATACTCACATGGGGTGGGATCGGCTCGAATACGCATGTAAGTATGGAACACTTTGATGTACAGAAAAATATGTATACCAAATTAAGCCCTTATCCTGAGCAAACTAAATAGGGTGGGGCCCACTCGAATTTAAGTGTGAGACACTTTGACGTACAAAAAATATGTGTTTGATATTCGAGCAAATCCCAACCCATATAAGTGTGGGACACTTTGGTATACAAAAAAATTGAGGGTGCTCCAGCAATAGAAAGCCCTAACAGATGGGCTGACCGAACAGGCACAAGCACAATGAGATCGACATTTTTATATTCAAGCGAGTCCCATGCCTGTGAGGATAGGTCAGCCCTTCTGATAGTTTTTCTCTGGCACGTCAGCATTATTCAAAAAATATATATCCACCAAGCAAAGCCCTTGTCCTAAGCAACCTAAACGTAACATCTCCATCTTGAAATTACAGAATCACCCCTGCTTAGAATTCGACGTACCAAGACAATAACCCACCGGCAAAAGTCTCTGCAATCCGGGCAATCTTGGAATTTCAGTCTCTCCGGGGGTTTAAAAGACCTCTCATTTTCTTGTGTGAATTCAACGTAGCTAAAAGAGATCGACTCGTTATAATCCGTCGTCGTTTTTCCTCTTCTCACGCCCCCCCTCCGGAAAACCGTCGTCGTTTTACGATCACCGGGAATTCATCTACTTTGGAGAACTGAATTACATTGCAGTCCCTTTAATTAGGTTAGTTTTTAATTCTTTTTCGAAATTTTTGTTCTGTAATTAATGAGGTGTTAACTTGAGGATTTAAAATTTTTATTGATTTTTTGGCAGAGAATGGAAAAAAGGGGCTGGATGATTGTGGCAATTATCTTATGCTTAATTATCGATTCATCTGGTAGAGGTGATAACCGGTCATTCTTTCTGAAGAAATTTGGATTTTAGTTAGATAATTCATTTAGCATTTGGATTTTGATTAATTATGTTGAATGGCAATAACTAGAATTTTGGGAGTTATTTCTTGTGAAAACTAGCTCAATTACTTTGTGCCAATGGTTTTCGACTGAATAATTGATGGAATTGATGTTGTTTTGGTTCTCTGGATAGAATTTGTTTTGATGTTTGTTTTGATAGAATTCATCCTATCTTCCTTCCTGTCAACTAGCTAATAAAAAATATATCTATTGTTCGAAGCTTCAGGTATCGAATTCAATTCACATGATAGATAGGGAACCGTTCATCTAGCTCCCATGAAAGGCGTTCCCCAAGTGTCTGCCGAATAATTGTTTATGTGTGCTGCTTTACTATTTCCAGTGCCTTTTTTGGGGACAAATTACTAATTGCTGCCTACTTTTTTGTGTTTGGTCTGGTTACAGAACTTAAGGTAAAGGCGAAGCATACACATCAACATCATCATCATATTGCGACTTACAATCACACACTTGCAAGAATATTGGTTGAATATGCTTCAGCTGTAAGTTTGTTGTAAATAACATTTTACACAAGTCTAGAAGGTGATAATTATTTCGAGTAAATTTTTTAAAAATAAACGGGCAAATCATTAATATCATTATTGTCTGCTTACTTGATCGAGTAAGTTCTATTATCTAGAAGTGCATAATGATAATAGTCATAAAATAATATAGTTTGGTCAGAACTATGATGACATTCTATTCGCACAAGGTTTTGAGGAATTCTCGACGTAACTAAGTCTTGCACTTGCAGGTGTATATGTCAGACTTGACCGAACTGTTTACTTGGACTTGCTCAAGATGTGATCATTTAACCAAGGTAATGAGCAAGACATAGTGCCAAGATTTGCCAAGATTAAGTATAAATAACATGCTAATGTTAGTTATATGATCATAGAACATCTATATAGAATCTGATCTTAGCAATGATGTCATATTGTGACCTATGCAGGGATTTGAAATTATTGACCTGATTATTGATGTGAAGCGCTGCTTGCAGGTTAGGAAAAATGGGCTCTTCTGAGTCCTGCCCTTTTTTTAGCTGAACCCCTTCTAAGGGAAATTTATTTCTATCTTGTCATGTTTTGAACGTGTATTAGTATATTATGAACTATTAAGATCTTGTGCAGGCATTTGTTGGTGTTGCAAAGGATCTTAATGCTATTGTCATTGCATTCAGAGGAACTCAGGAAAGCAGGTTTGGCCTATACTGGTGCTTCATGTTTTTATCATCTCTATGATTACATGTTTTACCTCAAATTTGATGCTTGAATTAAAATGTTCCATTGCTATCTTTTTGTATGAATGATTTAAAAAAAGGAATTTGTAAGGGTACTTCTTCAGTTCAGTCTCTGCCTTAATATGCATCATCTTTGTGATGCTTCGACTCTTAAGTTCCTGAGCATCACTAAAACTTACATAAGAGTTTCAAGTATGAAACATAAAGAAAAATTATATGGGATTATATAAAATAAATGACCATGCCATTAATAGCAATAAATTAATCTTTTGAAAATGAAGTGAAGCTGTCGATTTCTGACATAATATGAAAATAGTTCGATGATAATCACTTAAATCCATAACAAAAAAAATAATTTTCGATGAATACATTTATTATATCTTGCCTATAAGCTATCTCCCGCTTGACCGCCTCGATCCGTTAGGTTTCTGAGGGGTGAGATGATACTCGATAAGCTAGTAAAATCTATAATGTGTTAAAAATCAAGAAAAGATAATTGATAACATATATAGAGAAGACGAGAATTTTACGGAACTTAGGTGATAAATTACATGTGTGGAGAGCTACTAAACTCCGGTCCCTGCATCCTGCTAACATTAATAATCATATTCATTTGGGACCCATAAACATGATTTTCAAGATTTAAAAACAAGTATACATAGTTTACATACATCATGTTGTACTTACCCTTAAAAATTTTTAGAAAGTCGAGAATGATTTGGGACAAAATTGAGGCTTTTGTTGGCTTTTCAAATAACAAATCACTACCTTAATGAGTGTTTTGTTTGTGTGTGTATTTTGTTGGGCTAGGGGCGGGGGGAGGAGTGATGTGTGAGGGAGTTGGGGGGTGTCTTGTGGCTTCTGTCCACATGTGTATAGTTGCTAAGGTTTGATGTTGGTTAAATGCCTTCTTGGAAACCTTAATCATTTCCTTAGGCAATAGTCTCCAATCATAGCTTTTTCCTTCAAGCTCACACGTCATTCCATGTTTTAAAATCAAAAGTATCCTTAATTCATATTAACAACAATTATTCCCACTTTATACTAGTAAATATACTTATTTACGTATCCTAATTTATACTAATAAATATATTTATTTATATATTAACATGTATAAATATAAACAAAATAAATCATACCCATCTATAAAAATCTAGCTTTATATGTTCCTTTATCAATGAAATAAGAAGATTCTTATTTGACATGATTTTAAAACTAAAAAGAATATTTTCCGAAAAGGAAACACTCTTTAGGAGTTACTGTAGCTGGTCAGTAATCCCCTATTTGATCTAGCTATAAATGAGATTTTTAATAGATTTTGATAAAAGTTGATGAAATGTGAGGTGGAAATGTTGATCAAAATTGTGGGTTGCACGAAATGTGTGGTTGAAAATAAATTTGAAGAAATATAAACTTTACAAAATAGGGGCCAAACAAAGGCTAAAATCTGCAAATTTGCAGAAAAATGCACTTTGGTCCCTAAGTTATTGGCCACAAATCAATTAGGTCCTTAAACTTCCATTTTTTAAGAGCAAGGCCCAAATTCAAAAATAGCAGTTGGTAAAGGGAATTTGGGGTGTCATCAACTTGTTTTACATCGAAATAAAAAAAAATGATCATCTGTATACTATATTTTAATCTATAATTCCCCAATGCTGGTTGTGATCATCCTGGCATATGCATTTTCAGATAGTACAACAATTTGTTTTAGTTCATGATGATCATGGTGTGCTTGTGACTAGTTTGCTTATTCCTTATGTTGTGCTTAATTGGGTTTACAGTATACAGAATTGGGTGGAAGATTTGTACTGGAAGCAGCTTGATATAGACTACCCTGGAGTCGATAATGCAATGGTTAGAACTACCAAGTTTTGTGATTGGATGTCTCTTCCGTAAAGGTGTATTGAATGTTCATATGGGTATGCGTACAGTCATTGGACTTCCTTTCTTTCAGGTGCATCATGGATTTTATTCTGCTTACTACAACACAACATTACGGCCTGGAGTATTAAATGCGGTTAAAGAGGCAATGGACTCATATGGAAAAATTAATATTATTGTGACTGGGCATTCAATGGGTGGGGCGATGGCTGGTTTTTGTGGACTCGATCTCAGTGTACCTATCTTACTCCCACTTTTTCTTATTATTTTCTGTTGTTTTTATACCTTTCCTGAATATGGGGCCTTTTCTTAATTGACATATAATTTGCTGTTAGTGTGTGCCATAGCTATTGTTCTGGCTATTTTTGTTTATAAAAGGAAAAAGGAGAACATTGATGACTAATTCTTGCAATATCCCTTTCTATTGGCATTCTTTCAATTCTCAAGTTAAACCTCAAAACCTTTGGTACTAAATCAATTATCACATCACCAAATTTCTTATTTCTATGCAAAACTTGTGAATTTCCTGGATGTCTATAGAAATTGAATTTTGAGATTCAATCTCAGGTTTTTGTGTAATTGTTGCTGTAAGTATTATTTTCTTGGATTTTCTCGAGTCTTCTAGTGAAAAACTTCTTGTCATACTCTCAGCTTGCTCTTGGGAAGCAGAATGTTCAGGTCATGACGTTTGGACAACCTAGGATCGGCAATGCTGCTTTTGCATCCTACTATAGCCAAGTGGTGCCAAATACCATTCGTGTCACCAATGGACATGATATTGTGCCTCATTTGCCCCCTTACTACCATTATTTCCGTCAAAAGACATACCATCACTTCCCAAGAGAGGTAATGGTTCTTCGTAACTCAAAATTCATAGATACCACTAATTTCGTTTTTAGTGGCATGATCCTTGTCCTTAAATGGTGCACATATATAATGAGTTAAGGGTGTTTAAGTTTTATTTTCAGTAAGCTGAAACATGGTGTAAGTTAGTCTTTATTATTTTTTAGTTTCATAGGTTTCTCTAGATAAATGTTGATAAGGAAAATCTTCTATTGTTACTCCTTCCCACTCCCCTTCAATGTTGTGCTTTCGTTTATCCTATTTATTTATTAAAACATACAATCTTCCCCAAGTTATTGTAATTTTCATTTTAATTCAATTTTTTATTTGAACGTGTTGTTTCTCTTGGCTACTAAGATTACTCAAATTACTACAACAGCACGACATTCTTATCAAATTTATTTCAGGGTGTTCCTAAAATCTAACTTCTATCTTTTTGTTCCAACTTATGCTGGTTGTTTTTTCTCGATTTATATTATCTTCATCCTTTCAGGTCTGGCTCTACAATATTGGGCTTGGAAGTTTAATTTATACAGTTGAGAAGGTCTGCGATAATTCTGGGGAAGACCCAAAGTGTAGCAGGCAAGTAGTTATTACCTCTGAGCACAATGAGAAATTTCATCAGAAAATAATGGAATATATCAGAAAATTATTAGTTTATTTACATTTTTGACTTCAGATTTAAAACATACAATGTTCACTTCTTTGGTGCTTCTTATCTTGGTCGATCAACGCCCATGTTACATCACTAAGAGCATACAGAGTCAGCCTCTATCCATGATTGAAAACCGGCCACCCTGAGACAATTTGCTAGGTGTGCTGGGCCTACCCGTCATGTACAAATTCAATTAAAAACAAAAGATAGAAACAAATAAAATCTTATTGTTTGAATGACTGTAAGATGACGTTTACATCAATGGTTCAAGTAGGTCCCGTGCACCGTTTTCATTCCAAGTATCTGTTTTCTTTTGATTTTTATTGAAGGTTGTACGGCATGACCTGTACCATGCCAGGGCCTGGGCTTGGGATGAACACCACATTTTGGAACCTATACCACTGCATCTGCAAATTTGCATTTCTATAGAAGAAAGAATTTTTTACTTCAGAATTCCTTTAGCTCATGGTTATTTGTAATTGGAATTTAAGCAGCTGTATTTGCAAAAGCTGGTGCTGACCTTACCTAAACCTTTTTCAGGTCAGTAGCTGGGAATAGTATTTCAGATCACTTGACATACTATGGCGTTGAAATGAGATGCGAGACATCAGGCACATGCAAAATCATAATGGATCCCCGTATCTCTGCATTTGTCCGAAAAGATCTTGATGGAAATCTCGTCTTATCCAGAGATCTCTCGGCTCCCAATTTGAAATTAATTACAGAACTGGATGATCTGGGAAGCGCATTGTAGATATTTACTCAGGTTAACCGTGTCAAGTTTGTTTAGGAGTTAACAGAAGAGGTAACCCGCACATAGCCTATCGACTTTTTCCCTCTAATGATACCATCTGAAGGGGGCATATAGCCTCTGAGAAGGTGTATTTGTACATAACTATTGTAACATTCATACTTGATGTGAATAACTAGTTAATTTCCATTGTTTTGTGGTTGGTTTATTGCTTCACCTTTGTGTTCCAAGCTTTTAACTTAAAACAAAGTTGAATTTCAGTTTATTTTGCTGAACTTGGCAGATGGAGTATAACTTTTGATGGAAATGGAGTTTGATTTTATTTTTCAGAGTTAATCTATGGTCATAATAGAACAGTTCTATCACATTTTTTAACTGAATTATAGCCGAAATAATATATTTAAGTTTTATTTTCAATAAAGGTGGGATCGAATGTTTTGTCACTCTTTTTATTTTTCCATAGTTAACATGAGAGTTGAGAGGAAGACTCGGCTATCTTTCAAAAAATTATACTCAAGAAGTTCGTGTTTTAAACAGAGTTAAAAGTCATCACGAAAGATTATTGTCGCATGTTTTGATACCATGTTAATCGATAATTTAATCTATAAATAACTCTGAGGGATAGTTCTGTGGTCAGACCTTGAATTTACTCCTGAGTGGTCACTAGTTGGAGTCCCCTCATAGCGAGGGAGGTGAATACTCGACTGTAAACTTCAGGACTCTGTAGGATTAGTCGAGGTGCGCATGAACTGGTCCGAACACTCATAGTTATAAAAATAATAATTTAATCTATAAATTTCAACCATTAAAAGTTATTTATTTATATTTAAATATTCAATTAAACTGTAAATTATACAATAATTTGTAACTCATACAGCAGTCAAGAAGCCTTGTCTGGTATAATCAGCAGCTTCAAATTCACAATCCATCTATTCCCCTTTGGTGGCAGAATCTTTTGGCAACACTACTTCTATCACCTCTTTTTCTTCTTCCACCTTAATATCGTCTTCTGCAGCCAAAGATAAACAAATTACAATATTGATGAATCCTTTAAGATAAAATTTAAATAAAGAAATTTGTCTGTCTCTTAACATGCAACAACTTTTTCAACGTATTTGCCGCCACCCATTTATGAAAATTATGAATCTGACTTGAATGCGTTGAAAATAAAATTCAAATAAAGAAATAAATTTGTGCCAGTTGCAACAAAATATTAACAGAATCGTAATAATGTAAAATAGAGATTATAAACAAACCAGTTTTGGATTCCTCCTTAGCCTCTTGATGAAATTCCTTTCCCTCCACATCATCATTCAAATCTATTTTCCCTTCTGATGCATTTTCATCAGGAATAATGGATTCCATTTCTCTCTTGAGATTTTCTTCCTCTGGTTCTTGAACTTGATGAACACTGATGTCGCCAGATTTTCCCTCCTTATTTTCCTCCATGGTTACAACAGCAGCCTCCAATTTTCGTTCCTTTTCTTTCACGTTTTCCTCCTCAGATTTTCCATTTCCATTATCAGTTACTTTGGCATTTGCTCCCTGGATTTCCTCCTCCACTTTGGCATTTTCCTTTCCATCTTCAGAATTTTCCCTTCCTTTCTCATTTTCCTCCATCCCTGATTCTACATTTCCGTTATCAATTACTTTGGCATTTTCCTTTTCCTTTTCGCCTTCCAAATTTTCCCTTACCTCCACATTTACGTCCACACCAGGTTCCTTGTTCAACTTTTCCTTCCCTTCAACAGAATTTTCTGCAATTATGTTGGAATTGGAATTCTTGCGTTTACTTTTGCTAATGGCGTTTTCTGTTGCAACAGCGTGCTTTGATTCCCCACAACCCATTTTTCAAGCTGTTGAAAATTTTTCCTGTATTTTTCACTTTCTTTTCCTCAGAGAGAGAGAGGAAAATGAAAACTATTTTCCTCCGTTCTCTTTCCAGCCAATCTTTACCTGGTTTTGTTCTATTTTATAGTTCGAAGAGAAACCCATTTTCTCGTTAGTTTTTTGAAGGTTGAAATAAAAAGGGTTTCATTCAGAACAGCCGAGCCGCTGAACACTTGAATTGTCTTCTATCTAAAATTTAATCCATTGAACGGCATAATGAAGAAGATTTTAATTAATTTATTATTATTATTATTTTTTATTAACATTATGTATCTAGTCATGTTTGATGCATGCTAATATAGTAAAAGTAAAGTATGATTCACGGTAAAAATAAAAATAAAAATAAAAAATAAAAAATCTAATGTACAATGTATAATAATTGCATGCAACTAAATCACTGATTTCTCACTTAAATTTTGTAATAATTAAATACTTTCACGACGGCAGTTCAAGAGATTTTGACAGTAATAAAAATGATTAAACAAAAGAAAAAATTAAAACTTTAAATAATGTAAAGTATCAACCTTAACACTATGTAATGAACATTTATTACACATTGTCATGTTCGATGAGAAATTATCTATTAAGGTAATTTCTAAATCGTTTTATTAAAATAGTGCAACTTTCACACCAAAATTTTATAACGTCCATAAAATCTGATTTAATTATCTCCAATTCATTACATCAAATGAATAGGGTTTCCTTTGTTTTCTTATTTTCAAAATTTCAACAGTTAATTTATTCAAAGAATTTAATTACAAAATATATTAATAATAAAACTAAATTAAAATTTATGATTAAGTAACTAAAATGTTGTATTTATTAATAATTAAAAAAATTAGACTCAATTCCACAATTAAAAAATATTACATTTAACATCAATATAAACATAATAATAGAATTAAAATAAATATAAATAAATTAAATTATTTAAACAAAGGTTTTTTTTTTTTTTAAATGATACAATATGAATCAAATTTGTTGTGTGCTATAAGGTGGCTCTTACATAAACGGTATGAAGCTCTAATGAGTTTCCTCCATGGCATGGATAAGACAAAGCTGAGGATCCCAAACTTAACGTTCAAAATAGTATAAAATAAAGGGCAAAATGAGATATAAGAAAAAAAATCTATAAATTATACTTGGTGCAACAATGTTCATTAAACCAAGTTGATGTCAAAATATGGGTTAATGAAAGGAATTTTCACACGAATTTGGCGTAAAATGCCAAATTGGTGTAAGGGTTGGAGACGTCCCAAATAACTCTAAACAAAAGTGACACGACACATCAATTATTTAGTAAATCATTTAATTTTTAAAACTTACTATAAACTTATTCACCAATTAATTAATGTGTCATATCGTTCATGTTGCTTCGTTATCGTAATAAAGTTAACTATAATGTCCATTATCTTAAAAAACTTCACGAGGTCGACGGCAAATACAAGTGGATGGAGCATATACCTTGGCTTGACAAAAATAATTAATTGTCTAATACATATAAAACTTCAAATATAATTTAAATTTCTTGATACTATTGCCGGCTCTTTGGCAGCTGGCGGAGGAGTTGAGCATTCTGATAATAACTTATGGATGATTCCAAAGTTTTTGGTTTTTGTTATTTTATTTTTAGGGTGAAGTCCAAAATAATAATTTAGCATTGTTGTCGAATCGAAAGAGTTTGATATTAAAATAGCATTTTAATTAAAAAATATATTACAAGGAAATAGAAGAGATGCAAGGTGATTTGCTTGAATCAAATTTATCTGGTTAGTTTAAAATATGAATATATAGATATAGTTTTACTAGAAAAATTAAGCCTTTGATTGAAAATCATTAAAACAAAACTCTATTATTATTATTATTATTTTCAAACTCATTTTCAACCACATATTCTCACAATAAAATGTTTTACCTATAAATCCAATTTTTTTTTTTTTTTTTTTTTTTTTTAACTATATATCCTCTAAAATGTCATTATTTTAAAATTTATTTTTTTTTTTTTCAAAAAATTCATTTTATCGGTCGTCAAATAGGGGCTAAATATAAAAGAGAAGAAGAATTTTTTTTTTTTTTTGTACTTTTAACTATATATCCTCTAAAATGTCATTATTTTAAAATTTATTTTTTTTTTTTTCAAAAAATTCATTTTATCGGTCGTCAAATAGGGGCTAAATATAAAAGAGAAGAAGAAAGAAAAAGAGTAAAGCCATCTACCATCTCCACTCTATCCATCCTCACTAGCTGGCCCCTCGCCCATCACCCCCTTTTCACTCTTTTCTTCCACCTCTTTGATTCTCCATATGATTAGTCTCCTCCCATTCCTCTTTACCTAAATTGAATGCAAAAAAATAAAAAAAAATAAAAAATTCAAAACACATATCATTAATTCAATTTCTTTATAAAGAAATTCTAACAATAAAATTAAAGGTGCAAAAGTAGGTGCTAGGCCTAAAAGTTAAAATAGTTGGACCCACACATTAAAAGCTAGACTATGAATCGAGGAGTAATTTTACTAAAAAAGGTACCTGTCAAAACAAGCGGCAATGTGATGCCCCCCTATTGGCCGGTTGTCTACAAGTAGCATGGTGCATGAATCAAGTTGTGTTATGCTCGATGGCACAAGGCTACTTGGCCGGCCTATGTTTTATTTAAATAAATTAAATAAAATTAACCGAAATATTAATATTAATTCGATTTTATTTACATTTATTTATAGTGATAAACAACATCAATTTCCATGTAAAAAAAATGTATTCAATTTTTTTAACATTACTATCACATATATTAATATGATCATGACACTCGATGAAAGTCCATGAAATCCTGTGAAGTTGCATAATCTCCCATATAAGTTGATTTGAGAATTTTGCACAAGTGGATAAGGACATGACCTAAAACGTTGGAAAATGAGCAGCATTTGAGAAATCTCGTGCCTCCCTCCATATCGCTTGACATCACTCTTCATCCATTTAATGATACCAACATGTAACAAAATATTCACCAAAATACTAATGAGTAAATAAGTAGTTTTGACTTATACTTCATCCATTCAATATTGTACTTCTTTTGATTTTTGGTTCATTTTGAATCTCTAACGTTGGATTGATATATCTTTGTTGTTCATACATCTTTTAATTTTTTATTTGCCCGGCTATGCCTTATGTTATTGTACATCAGTTTTTGATCAATGAAATATATATATAGTGTCAAGATAGTGACTAGCTGGTCGTCAATAATGAACTTACACTTTGGTGCAGCGTAGATGAGCCAAAGTATTCCCAATGGGAAAGTGAATGATGCCTTGATATCTACCTCATTCAAATTGATCTTGAACTAGTATGGCCCGATCACAACATCAAGTTCAGTTACTCCAACAGTTTGGCAGACGAAATTTTCAAATGCTCGAATCGTCATCGTCTTTTTCTTTATATCCAAATGCCTTGCCCCAAGGCCTTTACACTATTCAATGTGCAAACATTCAAACCACTCCTATTATCAATCAAGACTGCAGGTACTATTCGGGTCCGACAAGACACTAAAATAGAAAGCGGGTGAGATTAATCAATTTAAAGAGTCTTAACAAACTAACAAACTTAATGTCAGCATTGTAACAAGCTTAGAAAAATTATCATTGAACATAATATGTACCCTCCAACTAGTTGAAATAGTATCTTTACCTAACAAAGCATGATATCTTCAAAAGTTTTGAGATAAAGAGTGGCTACCAGTGAATAGAGTATAAGATAAATGTCCTGTAAACTGTTTTCTGTCTCCATATAGAGAAGGATAAACGACATTAGAGTGTCTTATGTCGTCTACCCTTCTTTTTATTGAAAGTCAAGCAGCTTTATGGTGCTCTATTTTGTAGGATTTCATGTTATATTATTGACGTGAGAAGATTACTGAATATTTTCATCATCGACGTAATTATTTCAACCAAATGATAATAGGTTTAGTTTTTTAAACATCTTGTCTGCATAATATAGTAAGTCCCTGTTTGGACCATAATTTTTCATCGAGTTTTGCTTAGTTCAGCCGGTCTCACCCCATGTGAGGGGTGTGGACACTTCCATGTACAAATTTTATGTACACCAATAATTTTTCTTTTTTTATCATTTGTAGAACAAATGAGACCGTTAGCTATCAAATTAAACTTTGCTTCATGTACATAATTTTTGTACATCAAGGTGTCCATGCCTCTCACATGGGGTGGGGGCCACACTTTTGTTTATCCCACCCTATGTGAGAAGCATGGACACCCTTATAGACAAAAATTATGTACATCTAAAATTTTTCTATCAAATTAGCCTACAATTTTTGACTTTAACACACACATGCGGGGCCCAACTAGACAAGCAATGGTCAATTTTTTTATTTGATTAAAATAAACTATGCAAGAAAATGTTTGCCATTTTGATAAAGAAAAACCTAAGAGAATATTCAATCATCTACAAAACGAGTAACTTGCAGGAAAAAAAACGATAAAGTTTATGGATGGGAAGATAGAGGGTCCTTAAGACTCTTTGAAGAATAAATCACCTCACAGCTTTTAGTGATGGTGAGTGAGTCAATTTATATTGATATACAAGAAGTCTCACAAATCAATTTAGAGTAATTACATACAAATTACAATGGAAATAATGGAAAGAATATTACAGAATTAGGCTAGAATGATGGAGTCAATTCTATGACATTTATTATGCCTTAGATTGAGGCAAATTATCCTCAACACCCCTCCCCCCCGGAAGCTGAGCATCGGATTAGAACGAATGTGAAGCTTGGATCAAAAGAATTTGAAAAGAGGTTGAGGGATACTTTTGGTGAAGATGTTAGCAACCTGTAGGTTAGAAGGGACAAACTGAGTCTGAAGTTTTCCAGAAACAACAAGTTCACAAAGAAAGTGGTAGTCTAATTCAACATGCTTGGCCCGTTTGTGAGAAACAGGATTGGAGCTCAAAAATATGGCACTTTTGTTGTCATATAGAAGAAGGGGCCACTGTGGAAGTGACACTAGTAAGTCCTTAAGAAGGTGTGTATAATGACCCGGACATCTCGTCCAAGCCGTTAGCTTACATAATGTCCGTTTTGGTTGGGCCTTGCGCCCATTTAC